GGCGGCGGCGGCGCGCGGAGCGTGGGGCGGGCGGCGCCGCGTGGCGCTCAGGGTGAGGCGGCCGGCCCCGGCCCGCGGAGGCTCGGGGGGCGCAGGGGGGTCGTGGCTCGCCTGGCCCCGGGACCCCATCGGGGGGTCGGTCCCGGGCGGGGAGCAGCCGAAGGGAGTCGGGGGGAGGTGCTGCCTGCCCCGCCCTGAGGTGGTCTGTGCTTCCCCCCGTCCAGCTGCCGCGGACAGCCGGTGCCCCCTGGATCACCTCGGTCGCCGCGTCGTTCTCTTCCTCGGTGGTGAGTGCCCGTCCCGCGGAGCGGAGCCGGTGGGCGGGGGAGGGAGGCGCGGGAGAGCCCCGGGCGCCGCCGCCCGCCGGACGCTGCCCTCAGGTCTGCTCTGCTGAGGCCGCTCCCGCCGGCTCGGCTGGAACCCCGGTGGGTCCGGTGGAACAAACATCGGCACTGCCCCCGTGCTCGAGGGGATGGACGGAAAAAAGTTCCGTGTCCGATTTGTGAGAGTTCGGAGCTGAGCGGTGGCCGCCCGTCACCTCGCGTTGCGCCTGGTGGCTCTGGGCTGGCCTCACGCAGCTGTTTGCGACAGAGAGAGGACCTGGTTTCCTTCGGTCTGTGAAACTATCAAACATCTCTAGCTGTTGTACTGCCTTTTTACCTCCGCTGTCCATGGCTGCACACTCTCCGAGATCCAGACCAGGATTCCACAAGCAGTCTGCTTTACTACCATCCATGTTTCCACAGCAAGTGCATTCTCTACACTAAAAAAAGGTGGCAATCTTATAGAAAAAGTGCAGTTAATTTTAATTCACCATTTCCTGGCTTGCTTAAAGTATTTTGTGTTGAGTGTGCAATGTTTGAGATACCCTTTTTAAGCAATTTGAAAAAAACACTAACTCCATTGCACTGAAGTCTGTGTGCTCTGGAGTTTGCAGCTCCATTGCATTAGGCTCGCTGAGGATAATGGAGTGATTGACAGCCGTGGGAGTTTGTCATTCTTTAGACCAGCAGCTTTTCTGACAGTCAGGAAACTTGGTCAAGGGACTCAGATTTCCTGTGCTTCCTTCCAGGTTCTAGAGGAGATTGTGTTTTCATAGGCACAGATTTCTGCCTCTCTTCTCCAAGTGTGATTCCAGCTACATAATCATCTGCAACTTTTTCATTTCAGTTCTCTTCTAGGGGTGCTTTCAAAATCATTAGGTTTTGCTTGTCCATTAAGAGGTTTATTTTATACTTCTGATCCTAGCTTTCTCATCTCAAAGCTCTCTCAATTTATTCCAACTAACATTGCTCCTTATTTTTTTTTCATTTTCATCCACTTTTCACTGTCATTACCTGTCCACCCAATACCATTTATATTCCTGAATCTTCCTCTGATCTCTTTCTCTTCATTAGACTTTGGATAGCATCCAAGTCCTCATCTCCCTTTCATAAATCCACATCATAATTTCTTCAGTTTTCTGATATATGTGAGTTTATATCCCAGTTCTGTTATCTGTCCCATTTCTGTAATTCATACAGAGGATACATTTCCTCTTTTTCTTACCTGTTATCCCCAAGTCATGGATCTATGTCATGATTAACTGGTTCTTTCTTTCTCCTAGTTCTAACCTTACGTCCCAATGTCAACTCCTCTTTTCTAGTTTCTTAATTTATATAGTCACAATTTGTTTTCCTGCATGGTACAGTTTTTTTGCCTATCTAATGCTAATTACAGCTTTTACCTCTGCTTTCTGTTCTCTTCAATGTTTGTCTGAACTTCTTATTCCAAACTTTCCTTGTCCCTCCTCTTCATCTGAGTGGGAGAGTTCTGTTTTCTGTGCTGCCAGCCAGGACAGTCCACAGACACAGGTTTCTTGCTCTTAGTTGCAAGACCAAGCAGGGGCTGGGGAAAGTCCAGTTTTCTGCTTGAAGCTATAAACTGGAAAGATGAACCTGCTTAGTGGCTTGATGGGAAGGAGGCACATGGGACAGTGATACAGTCTGCACTGGCTTCACGGAATTCCCATTAAGTGAATTATTAACTCTTCTGAACATTTAGGAGTTGCAGTTTTTCAGGTTTTGATTAAATAGATTGAAACAATTCTGAGCATAAGCAGAGCAATGTATTTTTTTCTATAACTGCTTTTAGAAAGAATATTGGCCATTTGGGTGTAAAGTGAGAGCAAAATGGGGCAGAGAGCATTGGGTCTTGCTGTGAAGACAGGATCCAGACTCTAGTGGTTCACATAGCAGTTAATGATGAAGGCTTGCATGTAATATGGCACACTGGTATTTGGGCACGTTGAGACAAAAATAACTCACTGTGCAGTGTTTTGCCCTCCACAGCCAACAACCAAACTCTTCATTGATGGGAAGTTTATTGAGTCCAAAACTTCTGAATGGATTGACATCCACAACCCGGTAAGTGAAATTGTCTCAGCTTATATAAATAGTGATCACTGTGAAACAAAGGTCTGTGCCTCTCTTCAGGGATGTGGCAGAATAAAAACATACATATATTTCTTGAGAAAGGTTTAGACTTGGAGCTTAAGGCAGACTATGGCTTCTCAGTTTCCTTTTCACATGAAATGTCAGTCTCAGAATAAGTTACTATTACCTTTATCTCCCTCACATAGTAAGCTCCTGATCTCCAGAAAGGAAGCTTAAGCTCTGGTTATATATTTTTTTCATAGAAAGGCTCTGTGATGAGTATGTCAAATTTCTGAAGGGTGTCTTTCACCCTGTATATGAAATCAATCGAGTGTGATTTGATGCCAGCTGAATGTGCAGTCCTGATAGAAGCTGATATTACTCTCAGAGTTAAAAGGTGAAAAATCCTGACAGCTGAAGCTCCTCTCCTTTCAGAGAGCTTCTATCTGTGACACAATAATCACAGAGCTGGATGCTGTGCAGCGCAAAATAGATAAGTAGCACTTGTATTGTCTATGTACTCCAGCAAAGACAAATGGAAATGAGGTTGCATTCAGAATTCTGATCCTCCTGGACTCCCTTGTAAGCATTTAAACAGCAGTTTCTGAATCTTCTCTGTAAAGCTCTATTTTCATTTACTTTGTGGAAATGATCAGAGCAGCAAGTCATGTTCATGAAGCTCATTTGGTCTTTATGTAGCAAGCAGTGTTCTTGTTTCATTTTCTTCCTCTTGTTTTGAGTAGTTTCTCTCTTAGTGATATATCTGAAATTTTAGTCACGTCAAAGCAGATTTAATTTTTAAGAGAACACTAGAAGGAGTTTAAACTGGCAACAAGCTTGAAGTTAAAATACTGTAGAATTAAGGTTGTATGTAAATATAGGACTTTGGCCTAGGGGTAGAGGTAAGCTAACATCAATGGCAAATGTACAGTCATGTACTGCTTTTCACAAAGGAATTTTGCCTCATTTAATGTGCAAGAGGGACAGCCAGATGAACCAAGACAACGGAGAGGGAAAAGACTAAAGCCCACAGAAACTTTTGCGTGATACTCTCTATAAGTTTCAAGACAGACAGGTCACTTTGACTCCATCTTGGAAATCAGCACTGCATTGTAGTTTTCTGAGTGCCTAACTTGATATATTTGGAGTGCAGGTTTTCAGAACTACTCCAGTGGTAGCCCAGGCCTCTTGTGTGCAATCAAGGAAGGCATTTCCTTTGTGCTCTGCCCTCAGAAGTACAGCTCCTTGTAGAACAAGAATATTAGGTGTGTGCTGTGAAAGGACTCTTGAATGGTTGGTGGGGACGGACAGGAAAAGCTGAGTTTTGATGCAATTTGTTTTCTGTTGCAGGCCACAAATGAGGTGGTTAGCCGTGTACCGAAAGCCACAGCCAGTGAGATGGAGGCAGCTGTGGCTTCTTGCAAAAAGGCTTTTTGGAACTGGTCAGAAACATCTGTTTTGAGTCGTCAGCAAATCTTTCTGCGCTATCAGCAACTCATCAAAGACAATCTGGTGAGACACCATGGCTGTGTGTGATGGCTACGGCTGAATGCATTGCAGCTGATTTTAGGAACAAAATTGAGAGACTCAGGGTTTACAGAGTTCTTGATGAGGTGTTGCCACGATCGAGACACTGTCCAGAGGTGCAGTAAAACACTTCCTATCCAATAGTAACAGAGAGGCTGTGCTTCTTAGGGAATATTACTCTGAATTTGTCCCTTTACCAAGAGATCGTGGAAGGAACTTTGAGCCTTGATGGGACATGTGTCCATTGATGAAGACAAGTATGTTACTATGGTTTTTTATTAGGGTTTCCCTGATGGATTTTTTTGATTTTTATGTGGTGTCATACCTGAAAGCATTAGAATACAAGCCATCCTAGGATGATTTTTTCTAAAATGTCACCTCTGTTATTGGCTTGTTTTTTTTAAGGAGCAAATCAGTCAGCATAGGTTTTTCTGGATTCTGTTCAGTCTATTCATTGTGATGTTCAACTCTCTGTTAGTTCTGTTTTATCCTTGCAATCTATTTCATGGGTGGGCACTTTTCTAACATTCATAAACTTTGTGTTTTCCATTTTCAGAAAGAAATTTCCAAACTCATCACCTTTGAGCAAGGGAAGACCCTGGCTGATGCTGAGGGAGATGTTTTCCGAGGCCTCCGTAAGCTGCTGGCTCCTGCTGTTAAAAAAGGGGGTTTGAGAACCCACAGGAAGGGAGGGATGAGGTCTCCTGAGCAACTGATTGCTTTGTATATGTTGATCCCTTCATAGTCCCCTCCTCAAAGAAAAGTGTCAATTGTAGCTCTAAGCTGAAGAATTTTCTTAGATAGAGTATCTTTAAATCACTTCCAAGTCATTAGAGCTTTTTCTAGGAGTGACTGCAACTTACTAAAAGGGATAAGAACTTC